TAGAACCTGTGCTGTATTGCATCTTAGGCAATGTGTTAACCACTAAGCCACAGAGTTCGACTCCTTATCAGCTGAGCCAGGGAAATAGGTATGTATTTAGAGTCACTGGTATGCCCAAATATGGGAGGAAGCTAACTGCTTCCATTCTCTGTCCATCGGCTCGTCACAAGAGACCATCCAGACAGAAACCCAATATTTTTACTGTTGCTTTGTTACATTTGTGTTGTATTTGTGCTGATAAATAAAGGGAGACTAATATAGATCTATTTTAAGCTATTTAGCTCTCATCAGCTAGCCATACCCTTAGTGGGATTAGAACCTGTGCTGTATTACATCTTAGGCAGATGTGTTAACCACTAAGCCACGAGGTCCTTCTCCTTTATCAGCTGAGCGAGAGAAATAGGTATGTATTTAGTGTTGCAACTCTTGGTATGCCCAAATATGGGAGGAAGCTAACTGCTTCCATTCTCTGTCCATCGGCTCGTCACAAGAGACCATCCAGACAGAAACCCATCTTAGTCTTATATGTATGTATGTGTGTGCTGATAGCTCCGCAATTTGCTATGGGTTGGTATATAAAATGATCCCTGTCCCAATTGTTCCGTCATTTTTGTATCTGGAAATTGTCTCACTATGGTTCTGGAGTTAGTATCATGGTTGTTAAGTGAAACGGGCTTCCCCATTGACTTTGCTTGTCAGAAGATCACAAAAGGAGATCACATGAGCTCAGGACACTGCAACCATCATAAATATGAATCAGTTGCCACATGATCACGGGGGTGCTGCAATGGTCATAAGTGTGAAAAATGGTCAGAAGTCACTTTTTTCCAGTGCTGTTGTAACTTTGAATGGTCACTAAGTGGACTACCTCTACTGGATATATCAGCAGACAGAAAGCAGTGAGGCAATTCTATTTTGAGACAGTGGCAACTGATGTTTTCCCATGCTAAGGAGCCCTCAAGGTGCCTTTTGCTGGAGGACAGCATCAATCAGCATGCATGTGTGCTATCGAAGCCCAGGAAACCTATCAAGAAAAATGCAAACTTAAAATTGCGGTAACCCTAGTAGTTGCCAATTCCTCAAGTCATTACCTTCTAAAAATTAAACTGTGAGGCAGGTAGAGTGAAGGCCCGGAATAATAAGAGAACAGAAAGTGGGGAATCTGTTCACTCCTATTTCACAAGAACGATATATGTATATATTATAGGAGATTGGTAGCACTATCTGCATTTTCCATATGTTTGACTATCTGCCTATACGGTAGCTATTAAAGAGAGATGATTCTGCTTCATTTTAAATTGTTAGAGGGCTTAAGCATGGCTAGTGGGATAGTGCTAAGATATCCTGCTTATTGCCTAAAGCACTATGACAGGCAGGTGTCTTTCTCTACACCGTCGGTTTGTTAGGCAGCTAGAAGCTGCTGCCCATATTAATCACCTCTCTTAAATGGTCACAGTAGGCAAGCATGAAATTCAAAAGTATGGGACTGAAGCATGGCAGGGATATGCCGCTGCCTTTTGGGAGGGAGGCAGATGTGTGATGGTTCCACGGGATAAATGGACTTTGGCACATCTTCCAAATTGCTCCTGGGTGATCTTTGTGAGAGGTGCTCTGCTTGTAGCTCAAGCAACGTTTTGTCATTTTGGGAGAGGGGTGTACATATGGGCCATGAATGAAGGCTGCCATGTTAGAAGGAAATGAAAGACCGGACACCTGGACCATAAAAACATAATCCCGGCATTTTTTAAAAAAATTTCTACTCAAGAATCCATTTCTGTTTGTAACGATGACTAAAGCAGTTAGCAATAGCAATAGCAGTTAGACTTATATACCGCTTCATAGGGCTTTCAGCCCTCTCTAAGTGGTTTACAGAGTCAGCATATAGCCCCCAACAANTCAAGCTCATTTAAAAGGAGCTACTCAGAAAGACTGATTTACAGCCTAGCTGTGACTTTGCATTTAGCACAGTTTTGCATCTAGCCTATAGATAATGATAAGCTGCAAAGAACTATTACTTCAATCCTGACCCACTTGATTTTACAAGCTCAGATGGGGACTGCAGAAGTCTCAACCCTTGGCGCTTGTCCATATTATCTTGATATTATGTGGATGATATTAGGGCTGTGCTGAGTCTGTTCTCTCCACTAGACTAAATTATATACTTAGAAAACATTTACTCTGCCCCTTGTTAGCATGCCTTGGCATCCCTATCGGAATAAAACATTTGCAGAAAAATGGTACTTGATAGATAAAATGCCCATAGGTCAAAGGAGTGTTGAAATTTTAGAATTTACATTCTAATTTTGATTTACTGAAGTATCGATCACTTTCTTCAAGAAAAAGATAAAATTGATGGGACAGTTTGACCAATATCTTTTGATCAGACCCATGTTCGCTCCATCAACTTCTGCAGTATTCCCCAAACTCCCAATAATCCTTTGGAAGCACAATTTGA